AGAATGATGCATATCCAGATCACTAGTCCCTCTTGTGTTTTTATATATAAAAATTTACGTACTATGAGTCTTATGTACTATAGCTATGTCTTAGCATCAATATCGTACTATAGCTTAGCTACACTTCTCTCTAGAAACACTCTTAAATACACGGAATAATATTAGCAGAGTTAATTTATTTGTAAATGTGTTCGGAAAATGCATGAACCTTGAACTATAATACTTAAACAAAGCATGTAGAAAGGAGTATGTATATTCTTTGACTTAAGGACGATCGATTCTGACGTCATCAAGAGGCTTTTCTAAGTTTCTCTCCTGACCATGGGGGCCCTGCGTCCTCTTACAGCACTTAAAACAAAGGGTGAATTGATACAGTAAATTTACTTAATTGACATTCTATGGTTATACTTTAGTGTCTCTGTGCTTTTATTTATTTCTAATGGATTGTATCATGAACCATAAGACTTAAAGGCGATCCACTCTGACGTCATCACAACACGTTTCTTAAAGTTTCTCCGGACTCAACTGCCTACAGCGATCTGCAACAGCACTTGAAGGAGACGGTTCGTTAATTCAGCACACTTGAATAGTTGATACTCTACGACAGCATATTATGTAGTGTCTTTGTCATATTTTTATTTACTCCTGTACGATAATATTTGTAGCATGAATGAATAACAAAATTTAGCAATTTACTGTTTAGAGTTTTTATGATCTACTTCATTCAAAATTATTTCATCAATAATTTAACAAAATTATTATTTAATTAAGGCAAAAATCGCATGAATTTATGTTACTGTTTCGAACCTTTTTCATATTAGACATTTATCTAGAAACATAAAATTTTCTGATCAGTACAAAATCTTTTATTTTACATTTAAGTTCTATAATACGCAAAAAGTATTACTGGCATATTTTTAATTACTGTTGTTTATTTCAATATCTCAAATAATAATATCTACTATAAATTGAGAAAATAAAAAAATGTACAATAATACATTTCATTTGCATGACATTTACATTTTCATGCGTTACATTTCACAGTTTATTTAATTTAAAAGATGTAATGGTATCTGTTATTCGTATAAATATGTATTTAATGCAACAATGAAAAAAAATTAGGAGGAAAAAAAGTAGTAAGAAATTAAAATATTTAGAATAGATTGAACTTTATAAATTCAATTAAAAATAATAAAAGAAAACGATAAATACATTAATTCATCAATCTAATTGATAGTTAAGCTTTTTGCCACATTGTAGCGCTAAAATCGTCTAGGCCAGACTGTTGCCATTGTGATGTGAAATTTAAAAAAACGTGTCGTCTTCTTATAGTCTAGCTTTAGGGTGAGAACTCTATGGATTATATCAAGTACGATGACTATGTTTGTAACTTGAAGGAATAATATGTACTTTTCTAAGTGTGATTAGTTCTAAAGTTAAGTTTTTTTCTGCTTCATTCCAAAAAAATTTTTGAATAAGGATAGGATTCGCGATCACAACGCTTGAATACGCCCTCTAGCGAGTAGTATATTTTCAGGCTTTTATTTATTAAGTTTTCATTTAGTTCAATCAGAAACATTGGCAGAGTAGAACGCCATTTTTTAGCAACAAATAAGAAACAAAATTTCCCAAAAGAAAAGGCAGAAGAACTTTAAAAAAACGACCCAGAGAATTGGTAAATCTTTCTGAAACAGAGAGCGCCCAACATTCAAAGAACAATTTCTCAACAATTTTTACCTTTCTATTATCAACAAACTTGCAACCGATAGCTTCCGATTTCGTGATCGCATACTGTTACAGATGTCTGTATTACGGTAAGAGAATTTTTTTTTTTTGCTTCAATTCATTACAAATTAAAGTGAAGTTAACATTTCTTACTTCATTCCAATGAATAAATGTGATTTCAGAACGTGCAGAAATGTAATAGTTATAGAATATTCTTCTTCTTTATAGAATAGTATATATTTCTGAATCTATAGAATTCGTAAAAAAACAATAAAGAATCATCCAAATTACTTTAAATAGTATCATTTGTGCGATTATTAATAATTTTTTATCGTTTTCCTGGTAAGTATTTTTTAATTTTGAATGAATAATTTCAACTAGAATTCAGCTATTCTGTAGTTAAGTTACATATTGAAATTCATATCGAGATCTTACAATAATAAAATTTTTTGCTTGGTATGTCATCTAAAAGTAATGAAGGGATAATCTATTATTTTAAAATAAAATTTTCAAATGAAGAATATTTCATTTGGAATTCTCAGTATTTATAAAGCAAGTAAGTGTTATGATTTTTATAATTAAAAATTTACTTGTAAATAGTTTTTTTTTTCTAATTTGATGATAGTTCTCTCCAGCGCAACCTCACAAGCTTAAAACGTTAAATAAGTACTTTTAATGGATTTAAAACTATTTAGTAAATAAACTTGAATGTTGGAAACATCCAAAAAATATTTTAAAATATTTTTTGATATTTATGTTTCCGCGAATGACAGAAATCTAAAGAATGTCGATTTCCACCGGTGAATGTCACCATAACATAGTTACTGTAGTTAATGTCCGATATAATTGTTACGTCCAATTTCATACTAATTTATTCGTTAATATTTTAGTGTTTACTCGGTATTTTAATATCTGATTAGGATAGATTAGGAAAAGCATCATATTTGGGAATACCGGGAAAATGTATACAAGACAATTAATATCAAACCAGATCTGGCATATATTTACCAAAGTAACTATGTGATTGATTACATTCACCAAAAAATCGACGTCCACCAATTGCGGTCTTTAACAGTAACTCGCACACGCTTTTCTTGATAAGTATGCACGGGGCTTTAACCTGTAAGCGGACACCCCCGATGAATGCCGGTAATACGCGTGGACTTTAATGTTATGAAAGAAAGTATGAATGAATGATAAAGTCTATTAACGACTTTCCATCCATGTATATAGGCTCTGACTTATAAGCAGTCACCCTATGAAGGAAGGAAGATTAAAAAGGGTTTATTTCTAGTTTGTAAATCTTATAAACTCTACAAATATAACCTATTTGAATGTTATTTTTAATGATTTTACAGTTTAAGTACTTTTCTTAATTTTTTTTCATTAACTTATTTACATGTTATGTGTTTTGTTGCTTAAATTTTCCAATAATTATTATAACTACGCCCGTTAGGTTGAGGTGATTGTTCCAGAGGTGACCCAACCATATAAAAAATTAAATGTTAAGAAGAATATCAATAAGTTGGTAAAAACTGCAAATAATGAGATGAGCAAAGTCATTTGATTCACATACCAGTTTTATTTAATTATTTATTTAATTATTTATTTATCTATTTATTTATTTATTTATTTACTTTGATGAAATCTGTTTTCAAATGTAGACATTTGACAAATGGTGAAATAGACTTAAGGGTGTCTGTTCCAGCTTCTCACTGGAAGCGCATCGCTAGAGATAAAATCATTGCGGACTGGAATGCTGAATTTCTTGCTTCGCCTCGGTCGCTTTGGACGAAAAGGTTCTTTCCATCCATTTTTCACCGTTTGCAATGTAAATTCTTTGCAACTGATTTTAAATTGACCCAAATTTTAACAAACCATGGAAATTTTAAGAGATATTTATTTCGTTTCCATCTGCAGACCAGTGGAATTTGTGCTTGCGGTGATGCTGATGAAGATGCTGAACATATTCTTCTTCACTGTAGTCTCTATGCGAGTGCCCGAATGAATTTAAAGACTGATTTGAGACGTCTTTCAATTTGTTGGCCACCTGTCTTATCAGAACTGGTCAAAAGTATTGAAAGTCTTGCGGCCTTGCGGAATTTTGTTTTTAATGTAAATTTGTAAATTTTTCT